AATCCACGCAGGGGGTGAGCGTTCAACGGGTGAGAGAAAAGAGGCGGGCTGGGGGCTGGCGTGGGAGAAGCGCGCGAGCAGTTTGGCCTTGCAACGCTGTCGCGCACCGAGGCTGCAACGGCTCTATGAATGTTCGGCCTAGCGGCCGCGGTCCGCGAGCGGGTGTCGCATTTGGCCGGCGGTTCCTTTCGCCGCTGCAGAGTGCCCGCGTGGTGTCCGCGTCTGTCGCGTGCGCGTAGAAACGCCGCAGCGGTGCCGGGGGGTGCAGGTGCATGGTTGACCAGGGGGGGTGCGTTCTCGCAGGGTAGCGTAGGACATCTCTTTCTGCGCATGCAATAGCGCATCCTCAGGGGTGGCCGCGCTCGCCCAGCGTGAGAGGCGCCGCCGCTGCGCCGCGAAGCCAGGGGCTCGAAGAAGAGGTCTCGAAGCGCCAGAAGGGCCTCGATGGACGGATGAACGCGCGCATCGAGTTTGGACCTGTGGAGTGTTTGCGTGTTTGGGTGCGTGTGTGCGGGTGGGTGTGCGAGCGGTGTGGCTGCGTGTGTGTGCGTGTGTGTGTGTGTGTGTGTGTGTGTGTGTGTGTGTGTGTGTGTGTGTGTGTGTGTGTGTGTGTCTGCGTGCGTGCGTTCGCGCCTGCGTGCGCGCGTGCCGTTCGTGCGTGTGCGTTGGCGATGTTGAGGCGTGCTCGAGAACATTGCGTGTTGTTGGTGGTCCGCGTGAACTGCTGGACTCCCCCTGTTCACTTTGTCTGTCTTGCAAGCCGTGCCCATCTTTGCCTGGTGGTCAAGGGTTGTGACGCTGTGAGGTTCTTGTTTGGGCGCTGCGGGGCATTGGAGAAGGTGTCCGTCTGGGGGCTCACGTCGGGCGTCTTGGAGTCATGTCCGAAGCCGTCTGGAGTGGTTGTGCGCTGTCTGGAGGTATCTTTGAGTCCATCTTGGTGGATCGGATGCTCCCTGAGCGCCAGTGCGGGCAATCTTGGGCGCCTGGGCCGCTCGCGAAACTTGCGAACAAAGTGCAGGAGGGAGATGGGGGGGGGGGGGGTGTCTGTCGCTGAAAAGAAGAGCGGCTTGTTGAAGAGGGAAGTAAGGTCCATGTAGACGGCCTGCACCCTCATGGCTGGGGAGACTTTTGGCGTCCAGAGGCTGCTCGGGGCTACGCGGTCATCTGGGCGTGTAGACATGGGCTCCTCGTGGTGTTTATCTCGTCTCATGTTGCCGTCTCTGCAACCTGGCGGCCGCGCCGCCGCCGAAGCTGCGTTGGAGCCTTCTGAGATTGAGAAAGAGCGTGCAGAAGTGGAGTCATTGGAGCCAGCTTTGCGCTGGGAGCGATCGCCCCGCGCGAAAGCGCTGGGGGATTTCTGCGCCCCCCCCGGGCCCTCGCGGTCGAGCGCCGCCCGCCCTTGCCGCGCAAAGCCCGAGCGGATCTGTCTGCGGGGGCGGGCCTTGCTGCTGCAGAGGGGCGGCAACGGGCGGGGGTGAATCCGTGGCCGGTTGGGCTCAAGACGGGCTGGGCTCTTTTCGCCGCGACGTTGGGCCGCGGCGGGTCTGCGGTTCAGGAGGTGCAGAACTGCTGGTGATGGCGCGCGCAGCGTCCGCGCAGTTTTCGGCGCGCCATCTTTGCGAGGTTTTCGACTTCCTGGTGCGCGCGCATTTTTGGCAGCAGCGCTGGGGGCGACGGCGGCGGAATTCAAGGCTCGGCTGGGCGATGCAGAGTTGCTTCGCGAGGTCGTCCGCGCGCTGCGGGGCGATGCGGCGAATTTCGAGGGGGGGGTCGGATGCTGTTAGCCGCGTCGCGTCTGAGGAGGCGCGGCTCACATGGCAGCGCGTGGCGCGGGGTGCGCCAGGAGTTACCGCGGCGCGCGTGGAGTCGGCGTTTCAGAAGGGGCGCGCGTGCGAGGCGTTTGCGGCGCAGAGAACAGTTGTGGCGGAGGCGTTCAAGCCTCTGTGCGCGCCAAAGCTGAGGGGGCCATTCTTGCGCCCGCTATTATGCGCGATGGGGCTGGAGCAGGAATGTTTGAATGAGGAGTGGGCTGTGCCTGGCGATGGGCCCGCGACGTGCAGGGCCGACGCCATGTTTGGTGATTCCGTTGACGGGCAAAGGTTCAGGAAGAGCGAGGTGGAGTACTACAGGGGTCAGAACGCGAGGGAGTTTCTGGAGAACGTGATGGACTGCGTCGGCCAAGTGGCGGACGACGTCGTCGGGGTTGCAGCTGGGCCCGCGTCCGTTCTCGTTGAGCCGATGCAGCGTGCGCGTTGAATTGAGGCGGTGTCTTCGGCGGGGCCATTACCAGGCTTCTTCGACAGAGTGTTCCCGCGCTTGCGTGAGCGCCGTGCGGGGCGAGGGTGTCTGCTTGAGCGAGCGATGTGGAACTCCTTGCGGCGTTCAGTGCGCTGGGGGAAACGTCGCGATCGCGCGGTGCGACGACGGGCAGAAGACGCTCACCTTGCACGGGTGGGCGTCGCCTGCTGGCTCGGGCGCAGAGTGCGCGTGGGGGGCCACTTGCGCGCGAGACAACGTCGCCTATGTGAGGGGTCTTTTCCAGCGGCTCCTGCAGGCGGAGGGGGCGAGCAGCGGCGTTGGAATGGCAGCCGCGGGCAGACCTGTAATCGGCCATTGCGGAACGCGCCGCCCGCCGCAGCTCCCGCGGCCGGGGCGGACAGAGCCAGCGGTCGGCGCCGTGGCCGGAGCTGCCGCGACCGACCCAGAGGCGGGTGCAGAGGAGAGACAGCCCCCGTCGCCAGCGCCGCATCCGGAGCCGCGGCGCCCTCGCAGCAGTCGAACGCGGCCAGCTGCTAGCGCTGGGGGCGCGCTCTCGGAAGTCGTCGACGGCGTTGTCGCGCGAGGTGCTGGCGGTGCAGGGCGTCCCGCGGAAGGTGCACGGGGAAGAACGGCAAGTGGGCGAGCAGGAATGGCCGGTCCACCGTGTCCTGGGCATCGACGTGAGAAGCACCCGAGTCAGCCAATTCTTGAGGTTCTCAGCGCGACAGCGGGGTCTCCTTCCGCCGCGGCCAGCGAGCCGCGAGCCAGCGGCGGCGCAGGCGCTTCCGCGCCTGCCTCGCCGGCGCCTGCTATGCGCGGTTCGGACGACGCGGGAGAGTCATGGGCGCGAGTTTCGCAGTAGAGATTTGTGTCACGTACTATGCCACCCTGCGCTTGGAAGGAAGTGCGAGTTTCAGAAGTGGGTGGACGTGGCAGAGTCGCTGTCCGAGCAGTGCATCCGCGCGCGGCCCACGCTCGCCAAGAACTGCGTCGACGCTACCTCGGGGGAGTGGACTCCTGGAGTGTCGTGCGCCTTTACAGGGTGCGCGCGGGAATTCGTCGACGGGAGCGTGACGGCGCAGGAGGTGCGACGGTTTGTTTTGCACCCGTGGGGCGCTGCTTTACGGTGTTACGTTGAAGACACACTCGCACCCGGACGCCTTGGACATTCCAGGCAGGTCCGCCGATCGCCCTGGACACCCCCCACCCAGGACACCCCAGACACCTGGGACATCCGGGACAACCTGGACAGCACAGGCAGCCTTTTCGTTTGATCTGTCCTCACAAGGTATGCAGGAAGTGTACTCCCGCGTCAATGCTGGTTACATCTTTGGCCGAGGCGGCCACGATTCTTTTTTTTGGCATTTGTGACGGTGCACATTACTGCTGCCATTCTGCTGCTTGACTAGGGTAGCTATTCTTTTGATCCGCCATTTTTTCCCCAGGGCAAGTTTTTCGTACCAGGCATGCTTTTTCATGGCTTTGGGGCCCGAAAGCGGGCCCTGGAATTAAGTCGGGCATGTCCCTCTACAGTAGGAATATTCAAAAATAGTCCAAACATTGCCTGGGGATGATTTTTGGTATCTTCTGACTATTCATTTTTTGTCTTGAAACATCCGCCTGTAGGAGGACATGCCCGACCCAGCCCTGGAGGCCGAAATCGACTAAGCACGTCCAGAATGAGGCAAAACAAACCGTCGGACACTTGGGCTTCCAGGCCACCCTTTGGGTCTACGGCGGCGGCTCGGGAAGGCCCTGGCGCCCTTGGGACGCCCTCGGCGATGCGCGGCTGCGGAACAATGCACCTCGAGGCGGAAAGCCCCGCAGGGGACCGACGATAACCTCCGAGATGGAGGCATTACACCCCGGCGCAAAAGTCGGATCGTCGGAGGATCGGCCTCTGCCTGCTGTCTCCGCCTGCTCCTCGTCCTGCCGTCTCTGCCCGGCCCCCGCTTCCCCATGCCCGCCCGCCTCGCCGGCCCCGGCTTCCCGTCTGCGCGTTTGCCGTGGTCTGCCTGCCTTTCCCTTCTTCTTCTCCTCTCACCGACCGCACTCCTCTGCTCGCAGAGTGCCTGCTCGCAGACGTCCCACAAAGACATATGTATATATATATATATATATATGTATGTGTATATATATATATATATATATGCTTAGATGTAAGGTACATCGCAGATCCCCGTGGCGACTCCAGGCCACTTGTGAACAGTTATTTTGCAAATAGTGGTACGCACTCGTCTATCCTCTGAGCCTCTCTGCCGGGCAGCGCAGCTTGCCCGCGGGACCGGCGTGGCTGCGCGAGGCTCCTGCCGGCAGGTGCAGCTGGGGGGAGCAGCGGGAGCTGTCAGCCACGCGCAGAGAGGGGGGCGTAGGGGGAGGGGGGAAGGCTTCGTAGAAGGATGCTGGGCCTGTTTGCCACCACCACCACCACCAGAAGTTGGATGGGGGGAAGGAGGTGGAGGACGAGGAGGAGGAGGAGGACGAAGACGAAGAGGGGGAGGAGGAGGAGGACGAGGAGGACGAGGAGGAGGAGGAGGAGGAGGAGGAGGAGGAGGAGGAGGAGGAGGAGGAAGAGATGAGGAGGACCCCCTCCCCCTCCAACTTCTGGGGGTGGTGGTGGTGGTGGAGAGCAGGCCCATCAAAGGAGGCTGCTCCTGCGAAGCCCTCCACCCTCACTCTGCCCCCCTGCGCCTCGAGAGCGGCGGTGGTCACTGCCGCGCGCGAGCGCGGCCGCCTCCGAGGCGCACCCGCACGTCGGCCGGGACGCCAGCTCGGGCTACCTGCCGCTGGACGCCCCGGTGGCCACCGCCGCCTCGAGCCGCCGACGTCGCCGGTCCTGGCAGTTTTGGACTTCCTCCTCCTCCTCCTCCTCGTCCTCTTCATCCTCCTTCTCCTCCTCCTCCTCCTCCTCCTCCTCCTTCTCTTCATCCTCCTCCTCCTCCTCCACCTCCTCCTCCTCTTCATTTTCCTTCTCCTTCTCTCCACCTCCTCCTCCTCCTCCTCCTCCTCCTCCTTCTCCTCCTCCTCCTCCTCCTGCAAGAGGGGGGGTCGGGGAAGAGGGAAGGGTATCGCAAGTCTGCTGCATGCAGGAAGCGTCGGCCTGCACGTGAGAGGGACCCCTCGCCAGAGTGACCTTTGGTGCGGGCCCACGGGGACCCCGTGATCGCTGAAGGAGGTGCGATACCAGCAGCCTTCGTGCTTGGTGTTGACCCCCTGGCGCCCCCCCTGAGGCCGCGCACCAAAGGTCACTCTTGCCCACGGTCACTCTTGCGTAGCCGAAGTTTGAGGGGCCCAGCCTAAGTCTCCACCTTCTGCACCTTCCGACCAGCAGGTGGCTGATCTAGTGAGTTTCGCGAGGAGCAGAAACTGCATGAACATCAACATTCGGAGCTCCGCGCGCCAGGGAGTTGGGTCCAGCGTCGACCCAAGAGATCCACTTTTTGTCCCTCGCGAAATTCACTAAATCGGCCACCTGCTTGTCGGAAAGTGTGGAAGGTGGAGAGTCAGGGCAAAAGGGAAGAGGATCCAGGCTTCTGGGCCTTTGACATCCTCGCGACTTGAAAACATAGCGACGGGATGTTTTTGGCAGTTTTCGGGTTCTGCGGTCCCTCGCCAGGCCCCAGGACCATCATAGGGGAAGGAAACGTGACATTGACGTAACAACTCGGAGGTCCGCTCGGATTGCTTGGATCCGCGCTGGACCCCCCTCCCTGGCGCGCGGAGCGCGCCAAGGGCGGCGCTGGAGGCGCCGCCAGGGGGGTCAGCGCCGATCCGAGAAATCAGCGCGGACCTCGGAGTTTTTATGGTTATGTCATTGTTCACCTACATCAGAACACGTTTCAGCATGAAAAGCCAGTCTCTTGGAATGGGACATCGTCGGATGTTTGTGTCCTCCTCCTCGAGCTGCTCACGCGAGGGTCCCCAGTCCGACTCTCGTCGGGCTCTTGTGAAGCGTCACCGCCGCCGCCTTGTCGTCGTCGCCCTCCTCCACGCTCACAGATTCAGGGTATTGTCTGGTATACACAGGCATGCGAACACTCATGTATGTATGGTCTGTTTGTGTGTATATATATATATATATATATAAGCATACGTCTGTGGGTGCTTACAATATTCATTGGCTTACGCCACAGCGCCGACCCATTGGGGCGGCAGCAATCGTCCCCCGCGTGGCCTGTCTGGACAGCCTATGAGGCCCCTCTACACACGTTTTGGAGCCCTCTTAGGACCGTCCTGCCGTTCCCCCGGGCCGTTACTATGGTTTCTGGGGCCTTCGTGGGGCGCCTGGAGGCCGTCGTGGAGCCTTGTGGAAAGTCTCTTGGGGTGCCAGAGGTCGATCTTGGAGGTTTACTGGGCCGTTGTGGGCCTCGTGGAAGCCCAAGAAGCGAATATGCTGAAGCCGCACGGGCGCGGCGCCGTTCGGTCGCGTTTGCCTCCCACCTCCCCTCGGCCACGCGTAGCGGGGGGCAGGGGGAGGGGGGAAGGTCTCTCAGAAGCACCCCTGCTTCCCAGAAGACGCGGGCCTCGTCTGCGGCGGCGAGGCGGGCGCCTCCTGAGAAGCGGCCTCCTTCTGAGAAGCCTCCTCCTCCTCCTCCTCCTCCTCCTCCTCCTCCTCCTCCTCCCCCTGCTCCCCCTGCTCCTCCCCCTCCCCCTGCTTCCTGCCCGTGCGCGCTCTTGAGCCTCCGCAGGCTTTCCCGTCGCCACGGCCACGCCCCCCCTGGAAACTCAAAGGTCAGAGCACGAACTCCAGCGTCGGTGGGCAGGAGCGGACCAGTTCTTCGCGTTCACTGTGCGCTCTCGGCGCGCGCCCGCAGCACTGCAGGCTGGCCCGCTTCCTCCGCGCCGCAGCTCGTTCTCGGAGCGCCCCCCCCCCCCCCAATGTCGGCTGACCGGCGTCTGCAGTGTGGCCATGTGCCCGCTCGTACCCGCGGATCAAACATTGTTTTTTTTTGGGTCGGCGGGGCGAGAGCGAACCTCTTCCGCTAAAAGCTAGGCGGGCTACGCACAGCTTTAATTAGGGAGACAGGGCACAGGAAGGCGGGGCCTCAGGCGGCCGGACCCGCGGATCAAACAAGTAGGTGTGTAGGTGGGCTGGGGGCGATCTTGGACGCTGAAGGGGATGGGGCCCCGACGTCGTGTTTTTGTTCGTGACGTGTGCCCCCCCCGAGATCTGGACCCTTTCCCATGGACTAGTTTTTCATCCTGCGTCGTTTGATGACGGTCCCGAGGACGGGGAGGGGC